CACAAAAAACGATTTTGTCTGTTCTGTTCCAACACAAATACTTAGTAAGGATAACACTAAAAACAACTATGTTTATTCTGTTCCAACACAACTACTTAGTAAGGATAACACTAAAAACAACTATGTTTATTCTGTTCCAACACAACTACTTAGTAAGGATAACACTAAGAAACGATTTTGTCTGTTTCGTTACAACACAACTACTTAGTAAGGAAAACACTAAAAAACAACATTTTATTTATTCTGTTCCAACACAACAACTTTAGTGTAAAATATCCTGCTTGTGAAATAAAATTTGGCATCAACATTATTCATGCCTGTTCTCCAGTCATTTCAAAACTGAATGTTGAGTTTCGCCTGCGTGCGCAGCTTTTAAAACGTAGCGCAGGAAGTGGACAGGTTAAACGGGATACAGTCGAACGCTGACACCACGGTTCGCAGTATATATAAGATACGCCAACCACACTATATCTGACACATCTAGTGCTGATGAGGCCTTTCGTTCGACACCACATAGCAGTGGTGTAAGTGCTATTTATGTCATAACATTTAATGAACAACAATTGTTACGGTGTGAACTGAAGTAAGCATTCAATTTGTAATTATTACAACTGTTACGGTGTGAACTAAAGTAATCATTTGAATTGTACTTGTTACAACTGTTACTGTGTGAACTGAAGTAAGCAAGTGAATTGTAATTGTTACAACTGTTACGGTATGTCCGCGGACTTACAACGCTAGAAACCAGGTTTCGATACCCGTGGTGGGCAGAGCACAGATAGCCCATTGTGTAGCTTTGTGCTGGCAAAGATTGAAATGCATATATACAGCCATTTTTTCTCTTTAAATCTACATGTTTAAGCTATGAACAGTGCTAAATCTCATATCGACAGCATGAAGCTTTCCTTTGCGCACGTTGCTTATTCTGGGTGAACAAGCTGTGTTTAATAGAATGAGACAAGACAAAACAAGACTATAAGAACAAGGCGTGTATCTGTCACAGCTGGGGATGAGAGGAGATTGTAACAACAACAACAGATTAAACTTAAGCCTTGAACCATCTATACATAAAATTAAGCCACTTCTCACGGGATTTTTTTACTGACAAAAGTCAGCAAGGAGTTCATAAAGTGATTGTGTACGACTAATAGCCACCTGGCGTTGTGTATATCATGTTTGCTGGCAATAATAACTTAACTAAAAAAGCTATAAATCCCTTAAAAGTGGAGAAATATTTTCTTGTAAGAATCTTGAGGTTGGTAACGAGGTCAAGTGGTTATAATCACAAGAGGTCAAGTGGTTATAATCACAAGAGGTCATGTGGTTATAATCACAAGAGGTCAAGTGGTTATAATCACAAGAGGTCATGTGGTTATAATCACAAGAGGTCAA